GGGGGTACCCCCCGAACCCCCCCCCTGGCGGGGGAGTTCCCCTCCGCCCCAGGGGGTTAGGTGCGTCGTTTGATGTCTTCAGGGGCGACTTCCTTGACGATGATTTGGGCGAAGGTACCAAGACGTGGTTCAGCGAGAGGTTGGGAGAAGTCGTGGCTAACGGCAACGGCGAGTTTGGTGGAGTCTGCATTGAAAGCGAGGGCAGTCACGGCGGTTGGGAGTGGCTTGCTGAGACGCCAAAGGCGTTTTTTCTTAAGACCGTCCCAGATGGCTACAGAGCCGTCTCCTCCGCCGGTGGCGAAGGTGTTATATTTTTGGTTGAATGCAATGGCATTAACCGAGAATATTTTGTCTGTTTCGACCGTAGCACCAAGGTGACTGTAGCTGACGATATCCTCGTATTGCATTTTTGCTCGGTGGCACTTGAAGGAGTAGCCGGTGGTTGTGTCCGGGGTGGCGTTTGTAGTGACGGGTATGTTGTTGTTGGGCGCGTGAACGCCGGGTTGGAAGTATTCGTAGGCGACCCGACCCTCGGTTGTGCCTACAGCGAAGCCGTTTCCGTCAGCGAAGGGAGCTAGACATCTTATTTGATACTTGACAAGGTCAGACCTGACTTGTTCCGGTTGGTCTAATTTTCGCAGGTCGTAGACATGGACTTTTTTGCTAGCATCACCAACCACTAATTTGGCATATGCACCCTCACTCAACGCCATCGCAAACACTTTAGTATCAAGACTTACTCGATGACTCAACGATTGACTCCGTGCATCCCACGCAGCTACAGTCCCATCCCATGATCCAGAGAATAATAAACCAGTGTCACCATTCCAACGGACTTGTCTTACCGCCTCCGCATGCTTACCAACCAACGTGTCAGCCTCCTTCTGGAAATCATACAATCGTAAATCACGCCCTAACCCTCCTGATAAACACCTACCACTACTGCCCACGAAGCAACAATCCAATATTGGAGCCGCGTGGGTCTGCATCCCTTTAACAATATTCATATCCACATCATACAAACGCACCTTCGAATCCCAACTTGACACCAATAACAAGCTAGGCTCTGATGGTGAGAACATCACACTCGTAATACCGTCCTCCGGACATCGCATCAACTCCGTCGTCATCCTTCTTCTACTACTCACCACTTATACTACTCACCACTTATACTACTCACCACTTTATACAGCTACTCACTCAGGGCCCGCCCTCCGTGAAATTCGCCAACGAAATTACGCCCACACCACTCGACCGGCAGAGGAGTCATGCTCCTTCCCCCACCCCCCCCCCCCCCCCTC